AATTTTTTGTAGCGACTTGGACACATCTCTGCTTCGGCTGGCTCTTGATGATTTTTATTTCATATAGTTAACAATTTTGATTGTTTTTCCTTGCGGCTGCAAAATATTATGGCTAGGTATTCCTTGCGCTGCTTATTTGTTTTTATTATTCTCTTTGATATTTCCAACTGCTTAAAAGTTTCTTTCAGATTATTTATTTGGCTTTTTATGACTCGAAATGATTTTTAATTTACTGCTATAAATTTGAAATGCAATTCAGCAGAAAAAATAAATTTTATGACAACTCGTCTTCGACATTATTGTTTTTGCATAAATACAAAGACAAATGAACTCTTATCCAGCAGTAAACAAGTTAAGAAATTCAATAAAAGTTTGAGACAAGCAAGATAAGAGTCCTTCAATTCAATAAATATTAGTTAAATATTTGTTTATCATATTTTCAACAGAATTTCCAGCTTGAGCATTTTATGAAACTTATTGATTGAATTTAAATAAATTTCGAATTTTAAAAAATATATTCCATTTTTGTTTTCTTTTAGAAAATATCAATTTTATTTCGCAATCTTAACTAAATACCTAACTTTGAGCTCTGAATATACTCCAGTGAGTTCTTTAAGTTTAGCTCCAGCTAAATAAAGAGATATAAATAATTTTTAGGGCTTTTATGTTTTCTTTCTTTTTTTTTTTGTTTTTTAGTTGAGCTGCTCGGATTATTTTCTTTAAGCTTTTAGCTGCTTAGACCAAAATCCCCCAAAAAAAAATCAACACATCAAAATAGGAGGCGAAAACCAAACAATAGCCATACCTTATACATAGGTGAGGAGCAGCACTGTAATAGGAGGAAGGTTGGACTGAGTGTGTGTGTAAGTGAGTTCGTTCATGTGTGTGTATAAATTGAAAAGCAAACCACAAAATGTTGGCTTACAAAGCTTCATAACTACACGGGTAGTCGAAAACAACAGCAACAACAAAGTTGGCTGCTTGCCGTAAAAGGCTAAAGCATATAGTGCATATAATGGCCAACAACTAAAACAACTATTATACGAACAACAACAGCAACAGGCCGAACAACGCTGGGTTGTTGTCCATGCAAATACAATAATTATTTTAAATTGCAAGCAAAAATATTTGCGCATTTGTAATTGGCGGCAGGCAGCAGCGTTTGTTGAGTGCATAAAAAATGTAACTACAACAACAACAACAAGTGAAGTGTACTACTTTCTCGTATTTTTCATTAAATTTTTTTCTGCTGAGCGCTGAAAAGTGTGCTAGGAAAATTCATGCTACTCCCCAACGCCCGCAAACAGCCGGCGCCATTGTCTGGCCGCATTAGCACTTGGACCAACGCACCGACAACAACAGCAACAACAACTGCAACCCAAAACACAACAAAACATTTCACTTCCTATGCTGGTGAGAACTTAATGAAAAAAAGGGGAAGAGAAAAAAAACAAACTTGAACAAAAGCCAAGCGACAAAGAAGCACTGTGCGACGAGGTGGCAACGCAGGTAGTCAGGCAGGCAGTCAGGTGACTACAGCTCAAGCTGCATGGGGTATATTTCTTGAGAACGATGACGCATTCAACAGCTTGGAAGTAATATAGACCCCGAACAAAAACACAGCCCAACACAATCAACAATTGACCGAAAAGAAAGAATAAAAAACTCAGCTGAAGCGAAGGGGCGAACGAAATATGACTAAAAAATAGTAAAAAGCTGACATGAAAGTGAAGTCTAGAGAAAATACCCTAGTTATAGGCTAACAGGCTGTGATAAGTCGAAAATTGTTACATATATTTTTAATAAAAATAACATTTGTATTTAAGAAAATGCAATTTGAATATAGAAAGTCAAATGTGGACTTTGCTCTCTACGAAATAAAATTAAATAAAGCCAACCAATCCAGTTCCAGTTACATAATTGTCCCAAAAATTATTTTACCTTCGCCAGCAACATTTACAGGGTAGATACAGTCCAACGTTGCCATCGTTTCTTCAGCTGCAACTAAAAACCTTTTGAGCACAAAGTATGAGCGCTTGACTCGCACCAAAGCAGCTCCTTAAATTAATTATCACTGTCAAAGGACACTTAATTGGTTGTCTACGTGTTGTATCCTCTCGTTTATACATCTACACACACATATACAAATATATATTTTTAAATCAATTGTTTCAAGTGCCAAAGTTTTCAGCTCTTAATGTTTCAATCAATCAGTTAGAAGAGCAGCTATTTTTTTCTTTCTATGGCCCATTATATTGAATACCATCAATAACAATAATTTTCATAAATATGATAAGGCATAAATCACAAAGTAGCAGCAGCAGGACCTCGCTGCAGCCAGCTCTGCGATGGTCTGTCACTTGGTCATGCGAGGCACGCGCGCTTTTGCGAATAATGCGGCTGGCGGGGATTGTGAGCAGAGAGCCAGAGGCAGCTAAGCAGGCAGACCAGACCAGAGCATACCAGACCGGGACAGATAGGACAGGCGACATGCAGGACGTAGGAGACGCAGACGCAGCGCATAGAACACGCAGGGCGTCTGGTGACGCCGTCACGCGGCGCTGTCATAGCGTAATAAAAATAAAAATCTAATTAGTATGCCGTTGACAGTTTAATCGTGATTACGCTGGCAAAAATTCCAAAAACCCAAGAGGAGGAAAAAAGCAAGAAACACACGACAAAGTGTAGGGCAACAGGAAGAGGGGGTGGATGGGGGAATAGAGTTTGGGGTGCAAAGAGAATCGTCAACATGCCAACAGTTGATTTTTGTTGTTCGGCTTTTCGGGACGTTGTGCTTGGCATTTCCGGCAGTCGTCGCCAACGTTGCGTGCCTGCCACAACAACAAGATGTGTGTGTGCGCGTGTGTGCGTGTTACTGTGTGTCAAAAGTTTAGTGCTGGGCAACGAGCGCAAAGGCGCTCAAATGAGCTACCACAGCCTATAAAAGGCTAAGCGAAATAAACAAAAAAATAATAATAAGCCCGGCCAGCCATAGACGAGGGGCGGACAGACAGTATTTGGCTAGATGAATGAAGTAAATAGCTAGGTAAATAAATTTAATGGAAATATAATTAAAGTTAAATGGAAAATAAAAACTAAAATAAAATACTTAAAAATATAAAAAAAATCTTAGAAATATATTAACGAACAATTTTAATTTATTCAAATAACATAAAAATAAAAAATATTCTGAATACTATTATGAATACATAAAAAAGAAATATAAATTAAAAAATAATACTATTTTCTAAGAAAATGTTCAATATTCATATATATATATGAACTGAATTTGTTAGAGTTACTATGAAAATATATAATTTTAAGGACTCGTTAGCAGAAAGAACTCAAAGCTACGAATTCGAAGTGGACTTGATTACGTTAAAGCATGTATTTAGTATTAACTCGATTTGGAAAATGCTCAAGCTATTTAGAAATTCGAAGAATGTGTTCAATCCACGACACGTTCAAAATATTATATTCCTCTCTTATTTTTTGTTGTATTTCAAATTTGCACAAGCTGTAAATGTAACCTCGCGTATAATTTTTGTGTGTGCAACATACGCGTGACACACACTCGCGCACTCACAGCCACACACACTCATGCCACACAACACCCACTAACCAGTGGCCCGATCTTAGTTAGCCATTGAAATGCGTGTCTAGTGAAGGATACGCGCGACGTGATTGAAATTTTTAAACAAGCAACGTTGCTAGGCTGAGCTAAAAGTCTGTGTGAGTGTGTGTGTGTGTGTGTGGGTTAGGGCTGTCTGAAAAATATGACCAACTTGCTGGCACGTCGCATGGCCGCATGTCAGTCAAAGGCGCAACAGAGTCAAAATCAAGCTGTTGGATGGCATTGGCCCAGACCGGAAACGGAAGTTGCCTTGATGAATTGCCAACCGACCAAAAAAGCATGCTCAACCCGTAGCAGCTAACGCCCTCAATGCACTCGTGTCGTGCCAAAAGCATTAACAGAGGCGACGTTCAAGTTCAAAAGCTTTTTAATAAGACATTGCTTTAAGCAAGAATTTTATACATATATATATATATGTATATATATATATATAAATATCCATATATACAAACTGTGAATATCCTACAAACTGCAAAGTTAGTCGTTAAACAGTGTAACGGAAATGTAAAACGTTATTAAAGTAAACCGGAAATGCAGACAAAGCGACAACTCGCTGCAACAGCCATTTTGCCTAAAGTGTCAGACGGCGTCGAGCAGCAAAGCTGAAAAACTGAACTGAAATGAACTCAAGTGAAATGCGCGACAATGAAGGCCAGCAGAGTGGGCTGAGGGGACTATCCCATTGCATTAAATTACAATTTTGTAAAAAAAAGTGTAAAATAATAATGAAAAGTTTTTCTGAATAGCAAACAGCGAAAAAGAGGGAAAAAATATGAGCCCAGCTGAACAATAGTTGGAAAGTCATAAAAGCCGTCAGAAAGCAATCAAAATCAAGCGCAGTATGATAAAGGCAATAACAAAAAGAGGCCAAATGACTCGAGCGCGAATTACCTGGACATTACAATAAGCTTATGATCGAATGGAATTTGAATGGCTAAATGTGCACGAATTGAAGTGAAAGTGTTGAATCAAAGTTAAAAATTTTTGGAAATTTTTCAGTTTTTTAACTTTAAAACCCTTGTGCTAATTAAAGCATCGTGAGCATCAACTTTCATTTGGCAACACTGATTAATTTGTGGCTTTTAATATTTGCCGTCATTTGTTTTGTGCACTACTGCATAGACCAAAACTTTGAGGTTGTTTATGACATTTACTGTGGCTTTTCCAGTTCCCAGTGGCGGATGTGGCAAAGCCAACAAATTGGTGTATGCAGCAGGAGCAACGGCAGCGGCAACCTATATAGACCACAATATTACGTAACCACAAATATGTGACCCAGAGAACCAATTAGTGCATATGAATTTGTATAGTTAATTGTTTAGTGCAGAGACAGAGAGAAAGAGAGAGCGAGAGCTCGTTAACTTACCTGGCAGAGCTGTTAGGCAGGCCACGCAAATGATGAAAACCTGACAGAGTTTTATACCCTTCGGCTGCATGTTTGCTTGCCAATGCGATTAACAGATTAAACGTTTATTATTTATTTATTTATAAGCGAGTTTTGTTGTTAGACCCGTTTTTGTTGTTGTTGCTGCTGTTCTTTATATATGTTATCCCTTTATTAGCCGCAACGATTTGCAGCCATATATGCGCACAATATCCGTTTGGTAAAACCGCAGAAATCAATTTTTACATTTGAAATCGCTTGTTTTTGTTTTCCACCTCTTTTTTATATCGCCGCTCTTTCTTCCGCTTGCTCTCTGCCCGCAAGCGCAATTTCCTTTTTTCCTTTGATTATTTTCCCTTTTTTTCCGGTTGGTTTTCTATTTTGCGGTCGCATTTAATGCATATTTTCATATGAGTTTTGACATCGCTTTTGTTGGATTCCGTTTTGCGCTTTGCTTCAATTTCAATTTTTTTTTTATTAATTTTTTTTTTTTTCGAACGCAATTAGCCGTCTACTGAACAGTGGCTCATGTACGTGTTCGTACGAGCTTTGGCTGGTGTAAATACGTTTGAGGTTAGCTGGAATGTGAATTCTGCATTGATCTCGATTTGGTTATTTGCATTTTTCATATCCTTTTTACCGTTTTTGCATATTCATTTCCGGTTTGCACTAACTTCCACTTTATGCCGTTAAGCGGAAAGAGTTTTCCTCATCTCTTTTTGTATGATTTTCCTTATATGATTTCACTTTTCTCAGCTGTCATTCATTTTAGCGCTTGCGACCATAGCCAGAGCTAATAAGAGGTTTCATCAGCTGAAAATATTTGAAAGAAGCAATAAATTAGAAATTATGCTGAGAAATCTGAACACAGAAGTGAAGGCATAATTGTTAATAAATTATTAGAAAAATATTAATATATTAAAAATATTGAATACAAATTTAAATACAATTTTATATTTATTATTAAGTATAATTATATATTTATTACATGATTATTTGTTTGGTTTTTTTAATAATAATAAAAAATCTATATGTATAATTAAAATTATTTTTTATTATATATTTGAATTTTCCTCTAAAGATTCATAACATTTAAAGCTTTCTTAGATACTCTGAAAGTCATTTTTAAAACATTATAAATATCTTTAAATATTTAAAAACATTTTGCACAAATAATTCAATTTAAATTCATTTCGCTGCATAAAATTGCTTAATTCCTCAACTGAATGTCTAATAAATCCAATCATCTCAACCAGTCACATTCATAAATCCTCATAAATCATTGGCAGAGTCTTTAAGCTGCAGAGTCTTAGCATAACCCGGACAAAAATAAGAGCAGATCAAAAGAGGAAAAACACAGTGCACACATTTTCCGACTGATTTCGAAAACCCAAATGTTGCCCATTAGCAAACCAAAATACGCTGTGCAAGGGCAAAGCTCCTGCCGAATTGTTAAACTTCAACTCCATCATTCGCAGTCACGGAGTCGGGTCTTAAAGCCACGCCCCATTGGGCTGGCAACTCCCTCTTGGCTGACTTTACATTTCAAATTGGCAAAATCGAAGCCATGAAATTGTACAACACGATTCTCGCATATCGTACATGACACCATTTGCCCAATGATATGGCAACGGCTTTTCTCTCTCAGCCCAGCGCCACCCTAACAAGCCTAGGGGAAGCGAGGCGGACTGGCTTCTTAACACATGCCGTCATGCCCAAAAATTCACTTATGGAAATCGAAGAATCTCGTTCGCCAGCTTTTGTTTCCAGGCAGCGACAGTGCGCGACCCAACTGCAAACTAAACTCATATGAAGTATCAGCATTCGGTATTCAATGTAAATCCTTTAAGCTCCAAATGCGCTTGAGAGTACACCAGGAACACACACGCGCTGCTGATTGAAAAGTGAAAAGTGACTGTGAATGCTTCTGCTAGCGGATTCTCAGCTGCCACGCGTTGCGTATCACTTTTTTTCTTATACTCTGCGTTGATTTTGTGTGTTTTATAGCTGCTTGAGTTATTATCTATATAAGTACTAGTATTAGTTATAGCCATTGATTTATTATTCGTCTTTTTTTCGGCCTCGCTTGAGCAGAGTTTTTAAAGTCAAACTCGCTTGGTTTATCTCTACTTCAATCTTAATTCATAAGCTTCGTAAAAAGTTTGGCTCACTATCTGTTATAGCTGAGAGCGGAATCTCTGGACTTTGCCTTTAATAATTTTATTATATTAAATTATTATTTTTAAATTATTTATTGCCTTAAGTTCTATAAAAAACCTCTTTGATTCATATTGAAAGCAACAATTGTTTCGTTTATAAATAAGATAAATAAGAATTGAAATGGAATTAAAAAAGTGCAATACATTTATACATTTTCTCAAGTAAATCTCCGACTATTCTCCTTCAAAATTTCCCTACACAAATCAAAGCTTGCTCACAAAATTTGTAAGAGCTGATATCAGTTCACTTTTTCCCTCTGACTAGTAGCTATAATGTCTCGGCAATATGTCTGTCTCTCCCTCTCCTGCTCGCCCTCTCTGTCTTTCATATTCATCAGTCACAAAATTTACAAATTTCAGAACATAAAGCATATTTTCTTATACACAGAGCCCAGTCCAATGAGAAGCAAAGTGCTTAAACTTTTTCTTTCATTCGCTGCTTTTTTTCGTAATGCCAAAAAAGCAGCAGAAAATAAAAATAAAACAACAGCAAAATAAGAGCTCAAAATTTATTTGCAAACATTTATTATAGTTACTTTGTTTTATTCTCGTAGAGTACTTTTGCTTGTTAGCTGGGCAGCGAGTTCGCAGGAGCAGGACGAGGATTTCTACTTTTTATGCTGCATTGTTTTATAGTCATTCGATGTGGCTGTTGTTGTTGCTGTTGTCGTCTGGGTAATGAAACGCACCGCAAAGTTGATAAAAAGACGACCACAGCAGAAAAGCAAACGAATGGCAATGTAGCAGAGGAAGGGGCAGTTGAGGAGACGTGTGGCTAGAGCCCCAACCGTTTGGGCTGGGAGGGAGCCGAAACAAATTAGTTTAGAGATAAGCAGGTTACAAAATATGCCAAAGCATACTTTCTGGCGGGCCATCAAACAAAGTGCCGCTCTTGATTAGCCCGAAGAGGCTTCACTTTTATGTGCAGCAGGGAGCTGGTTGGGCGGCATCGAGGGAGGGACGCGGCGCCTGCTTGTGGGCAAACACAATCAAGCGGCAGAGACGTACCGTGAAAATGTTGAGCAGCTGTCGATGGAAAATGCAGCGCAAATAGCACAAAACAAACACAACAAGCGACTTGCCACCGACTGTGTGAGAGGGAGAGAAAGACAGAAAGAGAGAGAGAGAGAGAGAGAGAGTTGTGTAGCGAGCTAGCGGCGTGTCTGTAATGCGCCTTTGCCCGAGTGCACTGTAAATACCAAAGCAATTTCCACTGTAAAATTAACAAGCGCCAAACCGCAACAGACGTGCCTGCTCGAAGGGGCAGCTGCGGAGCAGGGCTTGGTCTGTGTGGTTAAGGTATTGGCATCTTCAGACAGCCAACGGGTGTACGTGTGTGTGTGAGAGAGTTAGTTACATGGCAGCATTTGGCAGCAAATGCTCTGCTCTGATCCAAGGCGCAAAATACATAATGAATTTTCTCACCCTTTTCTTAACACAGTCGAGCCACGCCTCCCCAGCACGTTTCGCTTGTTTATTTGCTTTTTTTAGCCGTTTTTGTTTGGCCACTCACACACATACAAGCATGCACACATACACTCATACACATACAACAGTCTGCAATTAAGCTGCCTCGGCTATTATGCAACTGAACGAGCCGACTGCAAATGTTCGACTGTTTAAACAGTTTTTGCTGCCCAACACACACACACACATACACTCACACATACACATGCTAGGGTCTAAGCTTTTATGTGTTACTTTTGCGCTTGCTATAGAGGCTTTGCCTTATGGCAGCTGCCTAAAATGCTGCTGGCTGGTGCACTTTATCAGCTCTAAGAGCTCGCCTTGAGAGCTTTGTGACTTTTAAGTTGTATTTGTTTGATGTTGAAAAATACGAACAGGCTTAATCATATAGAACGATATGCTGACGGCCTAGTAAATTAGAATTATTGAAGTAGATGCTTTTTAGTTAGTTTTATATTTTTATTACGTTTCACAATTCTAAAACACTAATAAACAAGTTACTTATTTTAAGAACTTAGTCTTTAAAACTAACAAATAAATATACAATGTATATATATATATATATATATATACATATTCAACGAGAAAATATTTACGTCACAAAGAGCTTTAGCTTTGGCTAACCAACGAAATTGTGGATAAAGGAAAATTTATTTTTAAATACAATGTAGTTCAGGCAGTTTGATGTCTGATTGTGAAAGAAGAACTAGTATAGCCGCTGCATGCAGTCAATAGCTATTTCCTAGTCAAACACTTTTGTACATTGTCATTTGTATTTATTTGTTTCCAAGACTTTTAGTTTAAATATCTAAAAATCTTCCAATCAATTTGGCCATTCTGATTAGCGCTTAAGCTGATCAAACGGGCTTAGGGCAAGAGCTCACCTGCTCGCTTTAAGGGCTTTGAGCATATTTAAGCCCTAGACTAAATAATGCTTGAATATTTCAACAACTGTCGCCAGCTGTTGAAAAATCCATTTAAAATTAACAACGCTTGAGTTGCAAGAAAATGCAAAATGTTCGACTTGTTGAGGGTTATGTGGGTGTGCGTGTGTGAGTGTGTGCATGGGTGGGCGGGGCACATAAACCAAGCTTTTAACTGGCCATCAGGCACACACACATCAGTTGGCTTGCACAGCAAACCAATTTCCATTGCGAAGGACCCAAAATGAAACGCGTTTCAATAAATTCGTAAAATAAAATGTGCCAATAAATTGAGTCGAAGCAGGGCGTTGAAAACTAAACTAAAATCAAATTGAATTAAAATTCAAAGCGCTTAATATAGCAGGAGCGAAAGAGACAGAGGGAGAGAGAGATAGAGAGAAAGAGGAGATGGAAAGCGTGTGGCTGATGGCAGCCTTCAAGTTGTCGCATTTTTCAATAAACTAAACAATTTACGAAAATTGAAGTTTATCTCAATTGTGCAGCTGTTGTTGACAACATTCTGTCCAGCAGCTAACAAAGCACACACTGCCCCCCTCTCTCTCACCCTCTCTCTCTCTCTCTCTCTTTTTCCAACTCGCACACAGAACTCAATTTGGCAATAAACTGAGCTACTGCACAAGCCCCCCAAACATATTCCCGCTATCCACAATAGTCGAGTACAGCTAGAGGGTTTGGCAAAGTAAAGGGGAGTGCCGGGTATCTGGGGATGGAATATGCCAAGAGGGAAGGCGAGGGGTCTAGAAGTTGGCACAAATGCGCTTAGTTGCTTTATTGGTCAAGCTGTTGTGCGTGGATAAAAACCCTTTTAGTGCACAATTGCTATAAATTTGCTGCGGCCATTATATAGGGGCAGAGCAATAGTGTACAGAGGGGGAGTGAGAGAGAGGGGGGAGCGGGTTTTAGTTTTCAGTAGGGGTAAGTCGTTCAACGAAATGCTTCCATTGTCATGTGTGCAACTCTCTCTCTCTCGGGGGGATAACCAAGTCGATTGACGAACGAAGCTTATTTTAATCTCATTTGACAGTTCTGGCAAAAAGGCTACGAACAGCTGTTGTTGCCAGCTTCTTCTTCTTCTTCCACTTCCTTTGCTTTGAGTGTGACAAATGAATAATACGAAAGGGTTTTTTCCATTGGCAAACTAACCGCCCCCTTAGTCGCCCGCCCATATCATATAATTTCACCA